CTGGCAGGCCAGGTCTGGCTCATGGGCCGTATTTTACCCACCCCTTCACTAGGGGCACCTATTCATGTCTGATGCCTGCTCTGACGCATTCTAATTAGAACGTGTCAGAGCAGACTCAATTAATCAATTAATTGAGTCTGCTGGAGAGTGCCAATTAGCACACTCCAGCAACCTCAGCATCATAGGCATTCAGCATCCCTGCACTTCAAAATGGTGGTGGGAGCACTTTAATTGAAGGTAATTGAAAGAGCTTTAGTTAAACCACCACCACTGCCATTTTGAAGCACAGGACACTGAATACATGAGATGTTGTGGGTGCTTTAATTAGAACAGCTCCTGAGAGCCGCTTGAGTTAAAGCACTCCCCAACCCCAGAGCACGCCCTATAGTGTTCAGTAAGCATTGGCCTACTTGTAACTGTATTTACTGGGCGTTGTTACATGCCATAAATGGGAAGAGTTGCAGTGGAGGGAGGAAGGGGTTTGCCAAGCAAACAAGTTTAAATCAATGGGCATGTGCAGCCAACCCTTGCACTATGAGATTTCTCTGACATTTCGCTGCATAAAGAAAAACTGGACAGAGATGAACTTTTAATATAGCTGGGAAAAAAGACAGAAGTAGGGGCATCCTTTTGAGTTCAAAATGTGGTGATAATGCTACAGGAGAAGGCAGAGGAGGGTTAGGTGTGTGCACTTACTTGATTCCATTGAAAACCTGCCTAGTTGATTGTATTTATAACCTATCACAGTAAAACCAGTCTCTGAGATTTTATACATTTTCCAGCCAGACACGTGTATAATTCTTTTCTAAAACAACTTGCTGTATTTAGCATTTGTTACATTTTTGCCTCTTACTGTGTCCATGGTCCATTCCCTTCAAAGTGTTTACTGGTATTTAATTTTGCTCTTATATGACATTGTGCCTTGGAAAACAGTTGCCAGGTTCTGTTCCAGAGACAGATCCATTCCAGCATGGGGCTTTTTTCAGGTATTTATAAATTTCTCAAATTATTTTCTGTGTCTGCTCTATCTAAAAAGGATCATTTTGAGAGAGAAAATATTCTTGAATCTACAAATTGAGATCAGCCGTTTCCTTGACGGCCTCTAGACCAGTGGTCTCCAAACCTTTTTGATCGCGCACCCCTATCAGTAAAAGATTTTTGAGCACGCACCCCCAATGTATGTATATTTATATAAATAGAAATAGAAATAGAAGTTCTAATATTTTCTTCCTGCACCCCAATGGATCATCTTGTGCACCCCCTGGGGTGCACGCACTCCACTTTGGAGACCGCTGCTCTAGACTACTATTCTGCCATTGTTTGGCTGTACAGCCTCCTTTGAGGGGGGGGGCGGGAATCACTCACCTCAGAGACTTGGTATGGAAAATTGTCTAAGAAACTTATAAGCAACTGAAGGTCTTGTAAAATTGAACTGCATATTGCAACCTTTTCAACAGATCTTGCTTAGCTCTCAACCTGTATTATATATTATGCAAAAAACATTTTATCCATCATTGAAATGCAGCTACATCCAAAATACAATACGACAGCTATTTCATAGTGCTCAGCCAAACATGATAGTTTAGGTTGGGGATAAAATATAGCACATTAAATTGAAACTGCAGGGGAAATTTACTATACAGGACTAGGAAATATGTGATATTGCCCCAAATAAACATGTTAGGGAGTTGTATAGCGTATACAGAGTATATGGAATCAATTACTGTTGTTTTCCTTTGAAAGATTAATATTTCAGAACTGAATACAAAATACTGGAGATAATACATAAAAAGTGTAAACATGTCATGGGTTGAATTTACGCTTTTAGGATGATGTTAGGGTTTTAGTTAAGAACTAAAGCAAATTGCTATTTGGCAGCAAACTTTTAAAATATATTGCTATTTTTAGTAATGAGACATTCCTTGGATTATATAAGTATTTGGGCTGAGTGAATAGTGAAAAACTTGTTGGCAAACATTTCAATTAATTAGAAAATGAGTTTTGATTGACCATACATGTAACCCTTGACACATACATATGTAACTGAAAACAATCATCTTAGGCAGACAAAGCAACCCAAGTGTTCAGAAATCATGAGTCAAAGCCCTCTCCCCCACATCCCTAAATTCTTAGATTGGCAAAAACCCCCCATGAGATTTTGCTGATGCATTACACTTGGAGTTCTTTTTATTTGCCTTCTGATGGTCTAGATTTTGGGTTGGGATTTGTGGTTATAAAAGAAATCTGGAAAGCATGAGAATAAGGCATTGATCTTAGTCGGAAGAATGAAAGCTTTGATTATCAAGGAATTTGGGCTTTAATAAATATATCAAGTATCACAGGAACTGCAATGAAGTAGCAGGATTTGGGAAAACTGCACAAGATAGAAAAAACGTTTGAGAAGCCTATCAGCAATAGAAAATAGCCTTTGCTGTTGCAACCACCATATACTTTGCTTATAATAAGAACTTATGAGTTAACAGCAAGGGGCTAACTAAACGAACTCTCTAAACGAACGGTGCTGCGTGAATGTGAGAAATGGGCATAGTATTTTGCTTTACTAGCACAAAACTGAATTATGGGTTTGATTATGTTGAGAATGAATTTTAGATCATTTTAAAGTCTGTATTCAAATTACTTGTAATGATAATATCAACACAGTTTTTTGGCTTATGGGGGTTTTCTTGAATGAATTATGGAATATTTTTCGTGTCTTTTTTCTGTGCTAATTGGCTCAATATCCAAGTGCTTCACAGATATTACTAAATTTGTCTTTACCATGCACTTGAAGAAAGGAAGTTGTGCCTAGACAGAGGCACAAAAGGAATTAAAGCTAATATTTGCAGAAGTGTCCTCCAGTCATGGGTGTCTCAGTGATCAGTCGCCCAACTCAAATATCTGTAGGTCAACTGCCCAAAACACTAAGCATTTCTTCTAGGACTTCTCTACACATCAATCTTCAGTTTCCTCTCATAAATGCTGATATTTCTAGTTTCTCTTTGACAGCTGAACTTGATAGCATCAGCAAAAACATCTGGGGCCAAATCCTTAGCATTAACAGACTTCTGATAAAATCGGTTGAGGGTGTGCTCCTTGACTGTATTCTTATACTGATAGCAGAATTCACTCAAGTAGTGAACTTCACTTCCTGCACATTTGATCTCTCTTTTCTTCAGATGGGGAACTGCATAGCGGTCCAATGCAACAAAATAGTCACTGTTAAAGCTAATGGAGGGCTTGAGTGTCATTTAACTTATCATCAGTTAAGAATTGCATTAAGATGACTTGCAGAATATTCAGAGGTCGGGAAACTACAAGCTCAAACCTAAGTAACTTCTTTGCTATTTGAATGCAAAAAGAAACCTCTTGTATGTGGTGTCTGCACATGACCCAATTCACTAGAAGCTATTGTTTCTCTCTTTCTTGCCTGCTGTGGCTTCTCCAGACTAATAGGAAAGTTTTAGGACTGGGAAGCTGTGTGATTTGTTTTTCTTATGTGATCATTTATTTAAGTGATAGATTCTTTTCCAACATTTTCCATTTGTTCAGGACAATCCTACAAAGTGCTTCACAGCTGATTAGGCATCATTTCCAATACTCACTCTACCTTTGCAGGCTGTGGCCAGTTAATGTTCTGATGATTAAAGATACGACTTTTTTTTGAACCTGACTGGTTTTTGTTGTTTTAGCTTCAGTTCAGTGAGCTTATCTCCCCTCCCCACCATCTTTTAAGAAAGAAGAGCTAATAAAATGTACATCATAGGTAAATGTACCATTGCATATTGTCCACATCCCCATTTGAACTGCAAGTCTTTAAAAGGAGGGCAGTAAAGCACTGGAACAGGCTCCTCAGTGAGGTGGTGGAATCTCCGTCCTTAGAGGTTTTTAAAATCCAGCTAGCTAAAGGTTTGGCTTGGATTGGGGATGGTCCTCTTTGAGCATGGGTTTGGACTTGATGACCTCCTGAGGTCCCTTCCAACCCTATTTTTCTATGATTCTGTGAACTGTGTTCAAATGTGCTAGGGAAGTATAATTATATTTTACAGATCAAGAAGTGGCACAGAGAGACTGACTTACAGGCACACAGGAAGTCTATGGTGGAGCATGGACTTGTCCTAGGCTACTGCTTTTTCCTTCTTCCAATAGTATAGGCCAAGGCTTGGAGCAACAGTAAATGTTGGACAGGGAGGAGCTGAGGCGGACTGGGGGAGCAGAGGATGCTGGATAAGGAAACAATAAGTAGCAGGCAAAAATTAAACAAATGTTTTCATTTTTGTCAGAATAATGTGTGTTTTCCAACAGATGACTCTAATTATTGGGTCAAATTTGAGCGTCAATCTCCATTAAGTGGCTACCTGGGAATTCTACTTAGTCATCCAAACCTTTGTAGTGAAGTCCTATGGTATAGAATTCATCCAGTCATTTGTTTCTATAAATCTGATCATTACTGCCTGAAAAAAAAGAATAAGACTTCCTCAGTACCTTCTTTATCTGCTCCCAGGGTAAATTCTAGATAGCAGAAGGTGCACCATCTTTTTCTCCTCGCATCACAGTAACTGGCTTTTGCTCTCTCTTTCTCCTTTTCTGGCATCTGGAGAGTCAGACAATTAGAAGCTGGCAATGGAGCAAATGATGAATAGTTTTTAATCATTGGTAGGCATATGAGATGATTATAACTGGGTTTCTGCTTAAAATTGCATAAACTAGAAGAGAAACAACCACAGCCTGTTACTGTGCAGGGACTTTCACTGCAATTGAGGGCCACCCGTATGATCAGGAACTTGCATGGCAAGCCATATGAGGAGAAGCTAAGGGATCCCGGACTCTTCAGCCTAAAGAAAAGAAGGCTGAGAGGGGACCTGATTGCGACTTACCGCTAAATCAAAGGTGTACATCAGGGACTCGGTGAACAACTGTTGACCAGGGTGCCCTCGGGGCAAACCAGTGACAATGGCCACAAACTCCTGGAAGACAGTTTCAGGCTGAACATTAGAAAAAACTTCTTTACAACTAGGGTGTCCAGACTATGGAACAAGCTCCCCCCAGAGATGGTGAAATCATGTACCCTAGAAGTCTTCAAGAAAAGACTGGACAGTCACCTGGCTGGGGTCGTCTGACCCCAGATGTCTTTCCTGCTCATGCAGGGGGCTGGACCCAATGATCCTTTGGGGTCTCTTCCAGCCCTATGATTCTATGATTATACATTTTTTTTTCAATTCAGAAAGTTATTGTGGCTGCCTCTGCTACTTTTGTCTTGGAGATACCTGCATTTAAGTTCTGAGTGCTCTGTCTCGTCTAGGCTTCCCGGGCTGACCCACAATAGTACAGCATAAAGCAAAGTAGAGAAAAGTAAAGTGTCTTTATTTTGACTCCCACTTCCTTTTGATTCTTGCTGCTATTTTCTGTTTTCTGTACCAATTTGCACTGCCCCTCTGAACCATACATAAATGTCTGTGTAGGAAATAGGAGGTAAAAGTTTGGGCTTGGAGAGGAGCTGAGCTGCAAAGGCAGGGAAAACTGAAACAACACCACAGAGGACTTTTATGGCAAGGTGCAGTTGTTATTTGAACCCAAAAAGATTTTTTCCTCTCTGTGGAGCAAGGAAAATGTACTTCTTTTCAGGCAGGTTTAGCATGTTCCCAGCTGCTCTATCTCATGTCATTTTTTAACTGGAGGAAGGAAGTGGTGAAGACACTGCCAGGAGATCCGAATTCAATCCCTGGCTCTGCTGTGGAATTCTTTAATGAGCTTGGGCAAATTGCTTAATTTCTCTGTGCCCCCATTCACAAAGAGAAATGAGGATGATAATAGCTCTTCTGTCTACTTATGATCTAAGGCAGGATTGTCCAACTGTTGGCCTGTGGGATGCATCCAGCCCGCAAGGGGTTAATGTGTGGCCTGCAGACTCCTGACCAGCAGCCGCTCCCCCATTGGTCTAGCTCCTCCTGTAGTAGAAGTAGCTAGGGTCTCCCGGGAAGGATGGCATAGTGGGAGGTCTGGTGATTTTGCCCGACACTGCCAGCAGAGTGGCTCAGGAGGGGGACTTGTGCCACTTATGCGGCAGCAGGTGTGTGTGGGGGGACTCCCCCTGTGCAGTGGTGGCAGTGGCAGGGCACATGCTCATCCACATAGTGGTGATAGCAGGGGGGTTCTCATGGTTGGGGGCTGAACACAACAGAGGTCTCAGGGAACCCCTGCAGCCCCCATGCATGCAGCCCATGTGGTTCCTGCAACATGCAGCCTGTAGCTGTTCTGAAGTTAGACCACACTGGTATCAATAGAGCATTTTTGCAAAAGTGCCCTAGTGCAGTCCTTTTTCAACCCTTTTCAGCTGTGGACCCCAAAACAATTTTGAATGGAGGTACAGACCCCTTTGAATTGTAAATGTGGATAGTCACATACTTTTGGTTGATCATAGTAGTCTTTCATGGACCCCTTAGACATAGTCTGCAGACTCCCAGGGACCTGCGGACCACCGGTTGAAAATCGATGCCCTAGTGAGGTGGGAGCTTAAGTCCTATTTAAATGACTTAACTTCATTGGCTAACTATACACATGCTCAGGGGTGGGAGGCATTTTAATTAGAGCAGTTCTTGAAGAGCTGCTCTAATTAAAAAACTGCACCGTCATGTGTATTAAACCCCCATGGGTTTAAAAATAGCTGCAGGCCATTTGATCTAAACCTCATTTGACAAGGTTTAGATAAAGTGCCCCAGTGGCCATTTTTAAATATGTGGGGCCTTATACACAGGATGGTGAGGTCATGCTGGAACATTTTAATTAGAACATGGAGCAGACTCCATTGATTGAGTCTGCTCTGAGGCATTCTAATTAGAACATGAACCAACATGAGTATAGACAGCCTTAAGGGCTAAGATGCCTAAGTATGCAGATAGGCACTCAGTGAAATCTTCAAAAACTCATAAGTAGATTGAGCACCTAACTCCTTTGAAATCTCTGGGCATATCTACACATGCTGTTAATGTGCTATAAGCTTACCACATAGTAATATACTGCACAGTAAGCTTTCCCTGGCAGCGTGTCTACATGTACGCCCATTGGGAGCAAATTTGCTCCAGATGAGAGCAGTTCAGCACAAAGCAATTTCAGCCCTGCTGTGCCTCCCTACAGCAGCCAGGGGGAGCTCCAGGCTCCCCTGGGTGGCAGACCCAGCCTGGCAAGGGGCACTGCAGTCATGCTGGGGGGAGGAGGGAGGGGAGAAAGCTGTTCCACCTCTGGGACAGCTGCCTCCCAGCCCTGTGCTCTGATCTGCTGATTGAGATATGGGGCTGGGAAGCAGCTGCCTAGGAGGAGGGACAGTTTCCCTGCTCCCTGCTGTCTGAGCTGACCAGGAATAATTTGCCATGCGGTCAGCAGTCTACACGTGCCCTACTGTGCAATAGTTACTGTGTGGTTAATCTACCTGTATTTACTGGTAGTAGGTGACCATGCAGTACTGTGCAGTAAATGCTGTGCATGTGTACATGGGGATGCTATACTGCACATTAGATTAGTCCACTGTGCAGTAAAGAGTCTCCTGTAGACACATCCTCTGGGAACTGGGGAACTGACCTGCCTAGGCACTGGATACCTAAATCACTTTTGGAAATGCCAATCAGGTTACCTGGGTGCTTTTGAAAATTTTGCCCTCAAGTGTTTCAGGCAGGGACTGCTTCTGATAGTGCATTTGTAAAAGTGGTGCCGCAGTTTTGGTTGCGTCATGTCTCAGAACATTGACTCTCAAACCTGCTGGCCTTATTACACTTCACTTGTTCATGTAAGCATTTGAAATTTGAAAATGGTATGAGGGCTTTTGAACCTGCAAATGCAAGCATTAAACATATATATGCACAGGTAACATATGTACACAGCCCTTTTAAAAATATACACACAGAAATGTTCAGGCCCCTGTTTTCTCATTGGTCAAATAGAGGCAATACAATGTGCCTCTTTTTCAGGCAGTTGTATGGTTGAATTTAGTGGTGCTCACAGTTTTGGCTCTGTGGGCCAGATGAAAGGCACAGGGCTGGTCTGCAGGCTGGATTGTGCCCCAGGCTGCCCCTGCCTGGCTGGGATCGGGCTCTGGGACTTCGCACCACCCCCACCCAGCCAGTATCAACCACACCACACCACCTCCACCTGGCCCCCACATGCTAGAATTGCACCTTGTGCTGTTCTGCATGCCTGATCTAGAGCACAGAGTCATAAGCTGGATGGGAGCTGTATGGGAACCTTGAGCTGGATGATACAGCACTGGGGGCAGGATCAGGCCCATACACTGGGGGATAAGCAGCCCTGGTTTAATCTGTTACTGTTTTCAGAATGTTTCATAGTTTCATAGTTTCTAGGGTTGGAAGGGACCTGAGTAGATCATCTACTCCGACCCCCTGCCATGGCAAGAAAGAGTACTGGGGTCAAATGACCCCAGCAAGGTGTACAATGTGCTGACTGCCTTAGATGAAAGCTGAAATAAAAGTGCAAAGCATCATAATTACATTATGCCTGTGTTTAAGCCACAGGGCTCCCTAGGAAAAAATGACAGGACTGGATTTATTTATTTATTTTTGCAGAAGGATTTCATTGTTCTAGAGTTTTATTTCTTTTAGTCATCTGATCCCCAAACATTCAGAAAGCCTTGCTAGTATAATTACAGAGGATATCAAGAAAACAACTGCTGTTTGAGTGACATGCTGAGAGTATCACAAGCAGATGCTGAATTCACAGCAGGCTTCAGCACAGTGAACCTCTGTGTCCTTCCTCCCCTCCCCCCCACCCCCAGGAGGAAGGACAAGAAGTTGCTGAGTCTGCACACTACTCTGTTGAAGGAGGCATAGGAGAAATATTATTTACATTTTTTACCTTCTGTTGTTGCAAAGTTGATTACCCTAAGCTATCTGGAACCTGTCATATTGTTAAATGTCTTTACACACTGAAATGTAACCCTGTTTTTCAAAATATTAAGCCTATACTTCTGATACAGCTCAGTCTTTTAGCTTCTCTCTTTCCTTGGAGTTTCAGAACAGCAGAGACTTCCTCTGCCTGAAGAAGAGTGATTGCGCCTGAAAGCTTGCTAAGATCTTTTTTCCAACTACTCTGCTGGTCTTATAAAAGATATCACATCTACCCAAAGAACCTTGGTTTTTTTTACCCAAATAGCTGTTATATGGAATGTGAATGTTAACTTGTTCATAAAGGCTGCATCTATATGAGCGGGCAACTGTGCAGCTGTTACTGTGCAGTCATTTAGTACTTGCTTAACCAAGTACTAAATGATAGGGCTGTGCAAAATTTTGAGGGCCATTTTGTTTTGACACTGCTTCGACTCATTTTGAGGTCAAAACAGCAAAATCAAAATGAAACAAAGGCCATCTAAATAGCTTTGAAACAAAACAAGGCTAGATGAAACATTTTGAAAGTTGAAACATTTTGACCATAGGGCTGGGGATGGGAAGTCAGTCCAGCTGGGCTGACTTCCCAGCCCCGATCTGGCAGGGGGTGGAAAGACAGCCCAGATGGCCTGCCTCTCCATCCTCTGTGCTAGATCTTGTAGGGGGCGGGAAAGCAGCATCCCCGTGCAATCTAGCATGGGGGATGTAGAGGCAGCCCAGCTGGGCTGAGTTCCGTTCCCCAACCCCATGGTCCAGTGAAATGGTCAAAACAGTATCACTGTTTCGATGAAGTGAAACAGTGAGGCTATTTTGACTCAAAATTATATGTGATACAAAACACTGTTCTGTCCAGACCTTGAAACTGAAGTCAGAATCGAACAGTGCTGTTTCACACAGCCCTACTAAATGACTGTGCAGTAACCAGCACTACTGCACAGTAGAGGTATGCAAAGTGGGCCGTATTCAATTTGTATTCAGATTCAGCCCGAATCAGGGACAGTGATTCAATTAGTTGATTTGGATCACAGTCCCTGATTCATTTCAGCTGAATCTGAAGATTTGATGCTGATTCAGAGAATCAGCGATTTGGACATAGACACAACTTTAAAAGTTTTTTCTATACATCTTGAGGTAGCAGGCACAGCTTGTGAATGCTGTGATGCTGGGGTGCATGGAACCAGAAGTACTTCTGGTTCACTTCTGGGTCTGCCGAGGAGCATGCTGCCCCCCTTCCACATCCCCCGAGCTCAGCAATCAACTG